TGTAAGCGCTTACCTCAGCATTCTTATGATGTAAGCGCTTACATCGGCATTCTTATGATGTAAGCGCTTACCTCGACAGGGCATTCAAATGCTTATAAATAGGGGTCTACATTTTCATTTGTAGAACATCCCAAAACTTCTTCTTTCTCTCTTCAATTAATAAAGAGTTATTCTTTGTGTGGCCGTGGAGTAGGCAAAAATTGCCGAACCACGTAAATCTTGTCTTGTCTTGTCTTGTGCAATTTATTGTCTCTCCTAAATATCCTTTTCCTTCTATTATCTTGACACGCTTACTCAACACCTACATTTTTTAGTCAGCATTAAAAAAAGAAATTACAAACATGAAAATATGCTGCTACACGTATTTATGATGGTTTTCGAAGAATGGGTTTTGATATTTTTTTTTTAATTTAAGAAACGTCAGTATTTGATTTAGTTTTAAAGATATTGGTTTCAAATTAATTTGGAAGAATTTAACCCTATAGCATATAGGCTTCACAAGAGTGAAAATTAGTTAGTATTTTAACCAAAGAATAGAACCACAATGAAAAACATACTTGCCCCATTAGCATGCATATAACGGAGCAACCAGCCCCTTCAACATCTCTCATAATGTGTTTTACGCTGTTGAAAGCTAGATCCACATGAGGTGTGTAATGCATAGCTAAAAAAACGTCAGTCACTATCTGAATGACTAAACAAATACCAGCTAACTTTATTTGTAGGGGTGTTCACGGTTTGGTTTGATCGGTTTTTAATTAAAACCAAAACCAAATCAATTTAATCGATTTTTAAAATTTTAAAACCAAAACCAAATCAAAATAAATACAAACCATCGGTTTGATTGTTATTGGTTTGGTTTGGTTTGGTTCGATTTTTCGGTTCTTAGTAAGCTAATAATAAGTCGATAATAGTGAAACAACACTATACAATAATCTGAAAATAATTTGCTAAATTTATGCTTTTTGTATATTTCTTCGGGAACTGAAAGTTTATTTACCTCTTTATATGAAAAGAATGAACAAAAAAACAAACTAGATATTTGCTTTCTCAAGCTTTAGCCACTGTAGTCCTGCAATTTGAGTTTGCTTTCTTTACTCTTACGGTAGGATTTTTTTTAACTCTTCTGTTAGGCGAAAGTATGTGCGGAGGGTTAGAGAATTAAAATCTCTTAAGGAAAAGAAAATTAGTCGATTCCTATTGTTTTGGGCTTAGACAATCTTTTAAGATATAAGTAGGATAAATCAAAATTCAAAATAACAATTAAATTGCATAAAATATTAGAAAATGATATTATATTGCATATAAATAATTATTAAATTTTGTATATAATTAATCAGTTTGGTTTGGTTTATTTTTCGGGTTTTTATAATAGAACCAAAACCAAACCAAATATTATCGGTTTTTAAAATTTAAAACCAAAACCAATCCAAATCAAAAAAAATATCGGTTTACTTAATCGGTTTTGTTTGGTTTTCGGTTTGGATCGGTTTTCCGTCAAACCGTGAACAACCCTACTTATTTGCTACTCCACTAAATATTTTACAATATTACAAAAAGATTGCTAAAAAATCTTTACGGTAAAAAGAAATAGATTTGGTCCTAAATCCTGATACATACCGTATAGAAATGCTATGACTTGCGTGGTTAAACTTGGTCCTTCGTATTTTTATAGGATTTTAAGCTAATATTTCCAGGTCTTGATGTACCTTAGCTTATTAGGTTGAGAGATATATGAGCCCTTTATCTTGCTCTAATTGTATTCAAGAGCAAAAGACTTTTCGCAATTGCTGCATTTTTATCTGATTTTTCAGCCACCAATTAGTGCTGATACATAAAAAAGGACAATATTTGTGACTAAATTTTGCGCATCATATTGTTGACCTTTTATAACAAAAGTAAGCTTCCTTTCATGGTTTTACTAATTCTTGAGATCTTCATAAAATTGGTACTAACGGCTACTAACTCTGGAAAATCTGTGAACGATTATCGTCGTTAAACACCATAATGAAAAATAAAATTGTTTTAATGTTTTCAAGTTAATCGAGGATTAGTTGTTTTTTTTTTTAAAAAAATAAAAGGTAAAAAAGGTTACGGTCAAATTTCTTTTAAGTTTTGTTGGTTTCTCCTTTGGCGCTCTTGATTTCTCTCTTGCAAGAGAATTAGAATTGCGCTTTCCCGAGCTCAAGGTTACCTCATTCCGAGAAGTTATTCTTTTTGATTTATTTTTTGCAACAAAAATAACATGTTGTTTCAAGTTTTAGAAAAGCTTGAAAAAAAAAGTTTATAATAAAGACTTTCGCCAAAACTGTTTTCAGCTTAACTAATTTGAACAAACGCCATATTTTACTAGTAGTGTATTATTCCTACTTATACATCTTATACAGGCATCAGGTTCTTATCATATTCTTCTCATCTCATTCTCCGGTATCAATTTCTTCAAATTGAGAAGAATATACATTGAATGGTAAGATTCAACAATAAACCTAATATTGCTGCTTTAGAGTTTGGATTTTATTTCTTTCATTTTCAGTAAAAAGAGTAAAGAGTGACTGAAAAAGGGAAGGTACCTGGATGTTGCTTAGCTTAGAGGTCACCAAGGAATGAGTATGGCAGAGATGCATGTTTGCTATTTTCAGAATGCTTTATCTTTACATAAATAATTCAATAAATAAATAAATAATATTTAGATATTTTCTCTTTTTATCAAAAATAAATAAATATTCCACTGGAGTAGGGTCCTAACGGCACGTGACAGAGGTGGAGAGTGTGTCAGCTCGCCATGTGAGTGAGCTTTGCTGCTGGGTGCATATCAAAAGCCATAACTGACGGTGGTCAATGCCACGTGGCGTATAATTAAGGGTGGCTTTTCTTTTTCATTTTTCCGTTTTTTCCTTCTTTTCTCATTTACCTTTTCTTTTTTCTTGTGCTTCTTAGCTTAAGCATCCAGCAACGTGAGAGCACGTGGCGCGTCCTGTCACGTGACATTCTAATTTTAATCCACCCACCCATGCACCACTTAGGCTCCTCTTTACTCTCTTTGACGCATAAGTCATGTTGAAATAATAACCAGCGATATATAATATTTTATATTTAGCTAACGAATATAAATATTTGTGACCGGCTAAATGTATTGCTTGCCCTTATTTAGATGCTCCTCTTACTTTGCTACATATTATATAAAACAAAATAGTAATACGGAAATGATATGATTCATGAATATGGAATTGGATATATAATTGGTTGTTATGATTAGAAAAAAATTAAATATAAACTCACTAATTTTTAAGAGATATAACTTACTAATTGCCACTAAAAAGTTCGAGAGTTCTAGTTACCAAANATATATATATAAGAGGGCAATAAGAAAGTGAGGTGGCACCTCTCTTAAGCCAAGAAACATATTTATCTTTTTCTCATTTTTTTTTTGAGTTTTTCATTATTTTTTTCATTCATCTTATATTAAAAATCATATGTTCATAAGTCGCACCACTTTATTTTCATAACCTATACTTTTAATAATCATAATCAGTGGCGAAGCTAGAAAATATTACAAGGGTGTTCAAACTTGAACAAGAAAAAAAAATTCTCAACAAGTAGGTGCATCGAAAAATTTAAATCAAACAACGTGATATCGAGCTAAATTATAAAAATACAGGTAATAGTACAAACAATTGGATAAATCCAAACTAATATAAAGAAGCGTCGAAAAGAGATTCTACTTATTACAATTGTACTCGACGACGCTTCATCTCTTGAAATGTTTTTATAATAGACTCATTAGAAACAATACTAAATACTTCTCTTTCTACATAAGGCACTATGCAACCGCCTAAAAAGTCATCATCCATTCGATTCCGCAAGTCATTTTTGATAAACTTCATTGCTGAGAAAGCTTTTTCAACAGTTGCAGTGACAACAGGCAGAAGCAACGCAAGTTTCACTAAGAGGAATACAAGAGGATAAACTAAATGCTTCTTTGTCTTAACTAATTTTTTTGAAAGTTTAGAAAGCCCATTTAGATCGGAGAACCTTTCATCAAAATCACGAACATCAATAATATAACTCGCAAGCTGATTCTCAAGAGTACTCATCGTAAATTCATCAAAGTCATCAGGATACAATTCAGCCATCTTCATTATTTTTCTGATATCAAAACTTGAAAATGAGTCAATTGGATTCAAGCGAGCAACTCCATGAAGCAAATCCGTCGTCGCTTCATCAAAACGATCATTAAGTTCTTGAAGTTGCCAATCAAGAACTTTACAAAACACATCAACACGATAATGATGAAAGACAGTATGATCAGCATGTTTTCGTCGTGATCTTCCAGAGTTAACATATAGATCATCAAAATTAGGCACCAAAATATCATGCTTGATACAAAATGTAGATACTTTATCAACAAATAAATTCCATTCATCATCCCTCCTTAAAGTTTGCAATCTTTTCTTTGCTACTTGAACTAGTACCATGGCATTTGCAATATCTTGCTCTTTTCTTTGTAAGGATACATTCAACTCATTTGTGATTCCCAAAATATCTGTCATTAAATGCAACAAGAAAGCAACCTTGTATGTTTGACAAGCTTCGAGATACCCTGATGCCTTAGCTCTATCATCTAACATACTTGCATCTTCAACAAGAGTATCAAGAACATCAACAATAGAGCCAAACATACGAATAAAGTTTCCAAATGACTTGAAGTGGGATCCCCAACGAGTATCACCGGCTCTAACAAGACCAAGTTTTTGATTCAAGCCTCTACCTGTTTTTAGTTCACCCATATCTAATGCCTCTTGGAGTTTTTCGTTTTGGGAATCTCAAAATTCATCCACACGTTTAAAAGATGCTCCCAACACATTCAAAATATTTGAAACCAATAATACAAGTTCACCTACTTGAACACACTTCTTAGAAATCGCAACAAAAGTCAATTGAAGTTGGTGTGCAAAACAATGAATAGAATGAGCCGATCTACTTTCTTGTTTAATCAACTTTTTAAGACCTTTAATATCACCTTGCATATTGCTTGCCCCATCATAACATTGTCCACGTATAGAAGATAAACTTAAAGAATGATGAACAAGTACATCGACAATTGCTTTCTTTAGAGATAAAGCACTAGTATCTCGAACATGAACAATGCCAATAAATCTCTCCATCACACTTCCTTTTTTATCGATATACCGTAAAATAATAGACATTTTCTCTTTGCGTGACACGTCTAAAGACTCATCAACTAATAAAGCAAAGTAGTCACCATTTAGATCCTCTATTATAGCCTTAATAGTTTCTATCTTACATGCGGTCACAATTTCTTTTTGAATATCTGAAGAAGTCATCTTATTATTTTTTGGAGCACGTTTCAACACAAAGGGGTTAATCTTATCACATTTATCAGCATACCATGAAAGAATTTCAATAAAATTACCCTTGTTCAATGACGTTTCACTTTTTGATCATGACCGCGAAATGCAAATCCTTGATTCAAGAGAATCCTTACCACATTAACTGAAGCATTTAAGCGAACCCAATACTCACTCTTAGTTTGATCAGAATGTTTCTCAAATGCAGCAGCAATAGATTGTTTTTGCCGCATTAGATCGTCACAATTTCTATTTGCTTTATTGTGAATACTATTTGGCAAACCAACATGCTTCTTAAAACATTCTTTTCTATTCCAATTCCTAAACCCTTTACTCGAAAAAACATCACCACCACCTTAATGAATACTTTCTCCCTTAAATAAATAACAAGGTAAATAATATGCAGCATCGGTACTAACACTATACTCCAACCAATTAAATTCATCAAACCATATAGGATTAAAACGACACTTAAATCCAGAAAAGTCAGATTGAGGGAAGTCATGATACCGAGGTTGGCAAGGACCACCTTGAATGTATGCCCTCCTTATTTCATCGCAATGGTTTGGATGATACTCCAATATTGGAGTTCTTTCAGCTGGATCGGACTGTGGAACAATTGTATCAATTACTTCTCTGTTAGATTGATTTTGAGAAGCCGAAGTTATTTTTGGTACTTTGTTGTAAAATTTCAACAAGTTCATTGCAACTTCAATTCCTGAATGTATAAAGTAGTTAAAACATATTACTCCTCAATAATTAAATAAACAAAAGGAACATCAACAGTTTGTGTTTGAACTTACAAGTTACAACAAGCAATATACATAAATGCTAACTAATTACTCACGGTGTACTGTCCCAAAATGGCAAAAATATTTATCATATAAAAAATCAGAGAAATTTAACACAACTGAAACTTTGAAGCAAAAAAGAAAAAGAAAGACGAGAGATTCGAAGTTCGAACCAGTTCAATGGTGGAATGGAGTATTCGGATTTCGGACAGTCGGAGACTCGGAGTAACACCGGCGAAGACGGAGAGCAGCAAGAACTTTCAAAAGTAAAAGTTCGTTGGCAGAGAAATCGAAGAAGATGGAGATTTTGGTCTACCTAGGTTTCGGGGAAGATGGAGATGGAGATTTTGGTCTACCTAGATTTTGGCAGAGTAATCTAAGAAGATGAAAATCGGTGATGATGGAGAGCAGCAAGAACTTTGATGGATTGATTTTGACTTTTAGGGATTAGATTTGTTTATTCCTAATTTTTGTTTTATACAGATTTGTTTATTCATGATTTTATATTATAAAGTAATTCAAACAAAGAAAATGACGTCGTTTAGTCTGCTTATCTAGTTGTCTTTAAAAAGAATTATACTGCAACAAAAATTTGTGGAGCGAGGTGTTCGAACTTACGCCTCTAAGGCATTTTGACCGCCCTTTACCACTGGGCTATGCCTCTTCATTGTTACAAGGGTGTTCAATATGTATTACATATATATAAATTCTAATATTTTACTATATACCCGGTATTATTTTTCGACAAAGGGTGGTCAGTTGACCACCCTTGCTACACTGTACCTTCGCCCCTGATCATAATAACTCTCATGCCTTTATATCCATAACCCCTCAAATGTTTAATTTATAAGTTTATGACAATTTATTGTAGTATTCCTCCATATGTACCTATATTATAAGGACCTCTATACAAGAACAAATATCATGTTTTGAACAAAGATATTGACGATCATCCGTGCTTCTTCTTTTGAATGATAATAATGTGATTTTTCCGTTACTAAATTTTTTTGGACGAATCAAACTTATTTTGACACCTCACTCATGCCTATAGAAGTATTCTACTTAACATTGCTGATTATCACGGCTTGACTGGTGATATAGTTGAAAACTTGAAAGACATTTTTTGAATTATGAATCATCCAAAGGTAACAGTTTACTCCATTCTATATAATAGGCCGAGTATTAGATATGTTTAACATTTATTTGAGGAACCCTTATATGTTTTATGCAGATCATAAAGAATGATATTGGATAGTTTGAAGAAAATTATAGAAGATTCGAGTAAAAGAGAAAAGATTTGATTGATTTATACAAGAAGTTTAAGAGTGAAATAAAGAGGTAGGAGCACAAGGACGCTTCAAATTATCTCTTTCGCCTAATTGACATTCTTTCTATGTACTCTTTTGCTCCATAATTTACTTTAAGCCCAAGTTAGATTCACACAACCACAAAGTTATTCTAAATGAGGTTATAGTTGCAAGTAGAGTTTAGCTGACGCTTCTTATTCAAATTCTTTGTTTTTAACGTTGCCAATCATATATTAATATTTTATGGAGATCCAACTTATGCAGATACATTATCAGATTTTAGGACAACTTAAAAAAATACAGTTCCTCTATGATGTCATTACAACTACAAGTGGGGGGATATATGTGTATATTTAACTAATTATATGACTATCGACATACATTAGATATCTGTTTATTGCATCAAAATTTTATAATTATTTTATTTTAGTAATAGTATTTGCTGGGTCTCGGACAAAGTCCTTCCATCTCATCAATTTTGATCCTTCTTCACCAAAAATTGATTTACTTTTTATAATTTAATTTTGTAGTATATAATTTTGAAATAAGTGCACTGAAATTTTATATCGGCCAAGATTGTTTTACTATTTGTGCTTAGTCTTCTCATAGAAATATTAAATGGACAGGATTATTTTGATTCCCAACATAAAAATTTGTAACTTACACAACTTTTAGTCGAAACTAATTAAAGAAACATAAGAGAGAGAGAAAGAGAGAGACAACGTTCCATGTAACGTCCATATAGATATATTTGGTTCAAGGGTTTGCTCAAAGGGATATATTAAAAGATCAAGAAGTACATATAGTGAAAAATACCATCATAAAACAGCTAGAGTAAAATAAGTTTTACTTTTACAATTCGACTTAGTAACAATTTGAGCTCACAAAAGGAGAAATTAAGTATTAGACTTAGAGGGTGTTTGGATGGGCTTTTAAGCTGGTCAAATCAGCTTTTAAAGTTTTTTTATAGTTTTTTTCAGTGTTTGACAAAGTCAAAAAGTGCTTAAAATAAGTTAAAAATTGCTTAAAACAAACTAAAAGCAAGAAGATGGGCAATCCCAACTTATTGTTTTTTGGCTTAAAAACTATTTCTGCTGAAAAACCACTTTTTTTAAGCCAATCCAAACGAACTCTTAGTGTTAGCATCTGTACAAATCAACTAGGATCAAAAGTGAAGGATCCCTTCTTCACACGAATCCTAAAGTTCGGATACCCCGTTTCATGTATTCGTTCTTCAAAGTGTACGTGTAGTAATATCCCTAAGGTTTCATATTAACTTTTAATTTGTGCACTGCAAATGATTTCTATTAGACTAAACATCATCTCCTCCCATAAATAACTTTTTCTTAATGTAGTGCAATAAAATATTATTAAAGAGGGAATATTAGAAAATAAATAGGAAAAAACAAAATAATAAAATGTAAAGAAAAGAGGAATTGCCAAGTTTCATGTGTACTGCTGATGGATGAATATTTATTTGTTTTTTTATTTCTTTGGTCTTTTTTACTATTATTTTACATATTTTCCTCTTTTTTCAAATATTGAGAAACTTTCGAAAAATATTTTATAAACTAAAACTCAAATATGCATATATTAAATTTACTATTATATTTTATAATCGCGCGAGACGCGGACAAATTCACTAGTTCATGATAAACTTGGGGTTATATGCAGTTACATGTTGCATATCTTTTCTATACTCTAGTAACGGGGATATGCTTAATATATTATGTATGCTAACTGCTAACATCGTGTGAGACCATTAATTATGGTTAGTGAGTGATTTCATGGAATCTTTCTTAGATTCTTAAAGAAGTAGGTAGTCAAATGTGAGACCACACGATGAGTTTCTAAAGTTTTTTAGGTTAGGGTGCATTGCTACTTTAGGAATATTTGTATTGAGAAAAAAGTGGTATAATTAAGTATTTGTTATGAAATATAATTCAAAGTAGCAATATGGAACAAGGAAATAAAAGCAATTTAGTAAAACATGAACAAGAAATGAAGATAGAGAGAAGGAAGAGATTTTTTTTCTTTAATTGTGTGTGTTTTCCTATCTATTACAAGGCCTTTATATAGGCATGAAAAATGAAGAAAATATGTCATGGAATATGTCATTGAACATAGAAAATATGTCATTGAATATGTCATTAAGCATTTGACATGAAGATTATGGAGGAAGAGTAGACATCCACCATAATATGATATTTATCATAACACTCCCCCTTGGATGTCCATAAATAATGTGCCTCGTTAAAACCTTATTAGAAAAAAACCTTATGGGAAAAAAATCCTAATGAAGGAAAAAGAGTACATATATTTAGAAATACGCCTTTTGGTTGCCTCGTTAAAAACCTTGCAAGGAAAACCCGGTAGGACAAAACCTTGTAAGGAAAAAAGAGTACACCGCATATTAACTCCCCCTGATGAGAGCATCAGTTCACATCCTTCAGCCTTCACATCCCAATCTTGTACACCAGTTTCTTGAAGGTTGCCGTCAGTAGAGATTTGGTGAACAAATCAACCATATTATCACTTGAACGAATCTGTTGCACATTGATATCACCATTCTTTTGAAGATCATGTGTGAAAAATAACTTTGGTAAAATGTGCTTTGTCTTATATCCTTTTATGAATCATCCCTTTAATTGGGCCATGCATGGTGCATTGTCTTCATACAAAATTATGGGTAGTTTGTCACACTTCAAACCACATTTTGTCTCGGATAAGATATATTATAGACCTCAACCAAATACATTCTCGACTTGCTTCATGAATAGAAATTATCTCAGCATGATTAGAAGAAGTAGCCACGATTGATTGCTTAGTCGATCGCCAAGATATGACAGTGCCTCCAAATGTAAACACATAGCATGTTTGAGATCAAACCTTGTGTGTGTCAGATAAATACTCTACATCGGCATAACCAACAAGATCAGGATTGCAATCATTGACATAAAATAAGCCCACACTGGTAGTCCTTTTAGATAACACAATATGTGTTTGATTTCACTCCAATGTCTCCTTGTAGGAGCAGAGCTATATCTTGTTAAGACATTAACTGAAAATGTTATGTCACGCCTTTTAGTGTTAGAAAGATACATTAGTGCATCAATTGCACTAAGATATAGTACTTCAGGACCAACAAGTTTTTTATTATTTTCATGAGGTTGGAATGGATCTTTATTTATATCGAGTGATCTCACAACCATCAGGGTACTAAATGGATGCGCTTTATCCATATAAAATCGCTTTAAAATCATTTTAGTGTATGTTGATTGATTGATAAAAATTTCATCTTTCATATACTCAATTTGTAGACCAAGACAAAATTTTGTCTTTCCAAGATCTTTCATTTCAAATTCTTTCTTTAAACAGTTTACTGCTTTAGGAAGCTGCCTGGGAGTTGTAATGATATTTGAATCAACATACACAAAGATTATAACAAATTCAAATCTAGATCTTTTTATAAAGATACAAGGATAAATTGAATCATTCTTGTACCCTTCTTTTAATAGGTACTCACACAAGCGATTATACCACATGCGCCTTGATTGTTTCAATCCGTATAAGGATTTTTGAAGCTTTATTTAATAGATTTCTTGGAAACATTAATATGTTTCAAAATAATTTTAATCCTTCAATGATTTCCATTATACGCATATCAAGTTTTCATGTATTGGCAGATTAAAACTTGAAATAATTATATCCACCATAACAGAACATGTCTCCATATAATCAATGTGAGGATATTTACTAATTTTCTGGTGTCACAAGTCGTCTTTATGTCTATCGACATGAACTTTTTGCACAAGAACATATTTATACCTCCATTGGTTTTATACTTTCAGGTGTTGGGACTATTCGCCCAACTTCACATTTTTTCAAATGAAGTCAATTTTCATTGCGTATTTTTCATTTGGCCAATCGTTTATCTGTCCAAATTTCATGACAAATTTGAGCTCAAGATCCTCGTCAATATTAATAATATTGAGCGCTACATTATGTTAACAATATCGTCGACGATCATTTTATATCGGTTCAATTATTACACAATAAAGACATAACTTATTGAGATCTCTTTATCTCATTATTTTCAGGTACCTGAGCCTCTCACATGAGGTCTTACGAAGTGTTATGTCGTGG